TATCAGCTACATTATATAGTACCATCTATTTTAACAATTCATCATTCATCAGGGAAAACTGCATTCTGAAGTCAAGACCAAACAGTCGTATTTGGTAATCAAAGCGCTTTAATGGTATATAATCAATTCGTTACTTTTTGTATGTATATTATTTTATTCATTATTATATAACTGCCGTAAACGCYACGAAGACCCAAAAATTGTACGAAATTCACTTTATTTAATATATGTTTAATCTGTCACCTCGGGATGTAGCATTTGCCTCCTGTTTTAAGTTTTTTTTTTTTTGCAAAACCACACACATGATTTTGAACGGTGTCATTTTCAAGAACTATTAGATGTCTACACCTATACTTTATTTACAATACCTCAGGCACAGCATTAAATTACTGGCTTTATTTTTATCACAGATTAACCTTAAAATGTTCAGTATAAATATTATTAATATAATAGTCATTACATCGACATAATAACTCACTACTACTAAAATTCTCATTTATGGGTKTAATTTCAAGAACGTTTAGTTGATGCGCTTAAGTTAAAATAATTCAGAAATGTGGAAGTCGTCAATCATCTATGRTATTGTATAATATTATAACTACGTAGGCACACAATATACGTATTAAAATAATGTTTCATCATAAAATATTTTTCCTGTGCGACCAAGTTGTTAATATTACACTATCGAGTGTATTATTATAAAACGAAAATTCTCTGACGAGACAATATAATTATTACTACTAATGTATTGCTTCATAGTGTACTTTTTTTTTTCTAATGAATGAATTCTCCCTAATTATATATGAGTATATGACCAACACACGTTTTAAATGTACTCATCATACCTACTTATCTAAATCTAATTACTATTTTGATTTTTTCGTTAAAACAGAAGTAGTTCAGTTTCTATTAATAGATRCATAATTTATGGAAATTTAATGTGAACAATAGCCCCTTAGGCTCTACATCAATAATTATTATACAGTAAATATAAGACTTCATTAGAAAATAATTTATTCCAAGTATACAATTCGTGAACGTTTTTTGATATTTTTATAAAAATGAAATAGGTAATAATTTATAAAGGATAACAAGCTTAAATATTAAGTCTTATAAAATAGACACGTTGTAAATATAAGTGTACATATTATATCGTATATTATATTATTATTTATTTCTTATGCTGTGTTGTGTAAAATACAAGGAGAGAATAGGTACTGCAGTTTTATATTTAGTTAATCCTGGTCATTATTCCTTAATATTTGTTACCTGTGCATTATGTGTGAATTATCTCAAGTGTGTATCACACATTATTCATACGCATTAATCATCTAGTATTGGTAAATGCGTAGCAACAATGAATTATTTTTTAAAGATAGCTGTGATTTAAGTGGACATATTTTAATTCAACTTCCTATATTGAAGACCAACAGCTCGGAATATTTAAATTTATTACTTAACTTAAAAACCACCTTAAAAATAGTCAAGTGGTCTTAAGATTTATAGTTGTACAGCATGTAAACCGAGTAAGWTTACCACAAACATAACTCTTAAGGTTATAMAAAATTGACAAATTTCAAGACGTATTTCAACATCGTTTTAATGTAATGTCAAATGGAAAAATTATTAGTATTTTAAGTTACGATAAATTTTGCATCTGTAGGTTCCCTGCAATATAATAATTGTAAGAAAATGGTACAATATAAAAGGAATATAGGTAYCATTAGGTGCATCAACTTATTTTATTATCGCTAATTAAAACCGAAATAAAATTCCTTCACTCCTAGAACTTCTCAAAGAAACGAATCTTCTACAAAAAATATAACTATATATTTATTGATATCATATTATTTATCATATATACTTTTTTTTCTTTATACTCTAGTATCATTATGTAAATATAATTAAACTGTAACATGTATATYTTAAACGCCAATAACCCTGGTAGTTGAGGCGTATTTCTAAATAAAAAAAAAAAAAAAATTCCTTCACAGACTAAAAATATCATTTAACTGATTGTTAGAGATTAATTTAAAAGTACCCACTCTATTTTTCTAATATTATAATGTTCAAGGAGTTGAATTTATATTTAAAATAAATAATTTCCAACGGTATAATATATGTATTATTTATGTGATATCAGTTAAAACAAGATAATAATAATAATATATTTCAATCAAAAAGTTATAGATTAACATCATTTTTATATTGTTATTTGAAATGGCGCCGTACCTTCGTAGTAGTAGTTTTAAAAATATTATGTTTAGTATCTATTTATAATCAAACAAAAATTTCGTAAATTGTAGTCGCCCTTGATTCGTTTAATCCATTAATCTTGGCATCTTACCTCTGAAATGCTAAATTAACACTAATAATGATTTGTATTTTATTACAATCGATAACAGTTCACGTTTCTTGTCTACTATAATATTAACATGATTTTTTAAATTTAATTTATACTGAATCTTCTACTACGAAACCTATCACAGACGTGTTTGTTATGTAATGAGCATTGTTAAAAGCAACAGTGATTCCCCTCCCCCCCCACTATTCGGATAGCCTACACT